AAATGTGCAATTATTTTGAGTGATGTAAAACTATCTTATAAGAATACCTTGCTTGAAATGTGTTTGAAATATGATCATAGCTAAGAAGCGCATCATATGCCCTTGGACGCTGCAATTAATCATTATATAAAATCCAATATTTCAATTTTGCCATAAAAATCATAAAAATTTGTACAACATAAAGAAGAGTTAACTTACAGGAGTCATCTTATACACTTGAGCAGGGACCCAAAACCGACCGCTTTGAAGAGAAACGTACAGAGCCATGTTGGAATAATTTGACGCTAATAAATTAGTTGAGTCCTTAGGGTTTTCCAAAAAGGAAGAAAGGCATAAAAGAGGCCAATCACCATAGAAGGATCCTAATGATCCATTTGGATTTAATTGCGATGAAGAGTTTTCTTTATTCAGTATCCTCATCATATGAAATCGCCACTCTCTGTAGGCAACATCACCAAGTAGTCTTCCCCACCTACGTTGTACGTGTTTCTCCCACAATCGATTACTTCTGCATCTGCGCATCAAACAAGTGCAAACTTCGGACATGCTACATAGTTCAGTTGGTGAAAGTCTCTCGAGGATATTGTCCAAGATGGGTTCTGGTAACTCCAAGATAGGAGCTTCTTTCTTCATGAGAACAAAAATTTTGATCTTGATCTCGTGCTTGAAAGAGGAAATAAGAACAAGCCTCTATTGAAGAAGCAGGATAAATATGTCAAGTTCCACAATTTCGTCCAAGATGCAAAGCAGGATAATTTTTAACTTATGTCTTTGTCTTTTGTTTCCTTTTGATCCATTGTGCAGGCTACTATCTTGTCTGCGTGCCTTGGTCCGGTGCAAGAGTTTTCGTTTAAAACAGAGTAAATGATGAAATCAAGAAATAGAACTTTTTTTTTCCCGGCCGAAAACGTTAAGAAATAGAATTGAATGCTGTCGTTATATTAAATTGTCCGCCATTCTACTCAGAGATGTGACCCAAAGTTGCTTAATATTTGTTGTCACTTTCTATGTGAACCAATACGTTGAGCGTGCTTGTGTTGCTAAAGATATACGAAAGCTAATTGCTATTTAAAAAAGGAGAGTTAAATCTCGGAGTCTCGCACACATGGATCAACCACCCTCTAAGTTTCTTGAGATGAAGGTGTGCGTGTAATTGGGTAAACGCTAAGCAGAAAACATGCCTGCACAAATTAAATTGAATTCAACTAATGTAAAACTAAAAGAATTAAGGGATTAATTGCACCCACTAATCACAGGCTATATGAATGAACAACATTGCAGTTCACTTTAGGTTATTAATGTTCATTTTTTGGCCCACTTGTTGAAATATTAGCCTCCGTATAACTTCATTTTCAGTATTCCGATGTCTTATTATTTTTTTTCTATATGTATTCAAAGTGGTTTAAATGTTAAAAGGACAAGAATATTTTTTTTAAAAGAAGTTATTAATTTTATCGTGCGTTGCATGGAATAAAATATCCAATTTATAATAAAAAAATTATATAAAATGAGTGACGAGAAACTAATTAGCGTAGCAGTATTGCTTAATGGGCCAATCTTGCTGCAAAGATGTACTTTTTTTCCCCATGGGCGTCATTGGTATAAGAGCGTTTGGTTATCTTAAAAAATATTTTTTTTAAAAAAATACTTTTAAGTAATTCTAAACAGAACTTATTTCATATACTTAAAATCACTTTTAAAATAATAATTTTATTTTCACCCAAAGACCCTTATAATCTGATTTAGTTGCTTAAAATTTAAATGAACTAGAGAAACCCATCTCTCATAGACGCAGGGATGCAAGTTAATTCGAATAATTAATCCGCAATATGAAAAAGGTAATTAATAAAATAATTAATGGTCATTCGACTATCGAAACTTCAATTTACTGTATGAATCAATAAAAGATGCTATAAATAAGAAGAAAAAAAAGTGAGCTTGTGATGAGCTAAATATGGTATTCGTTGTTCCATCTTCGAATATCCTCCAAGTCATCCAGTTTTCTGATTCCTCCAATCATCCAAACTCCATTTCTTTGTTCCCCATTCACCTTTCTATTTATCACTATCGATTTCCACTGTGAGTACTGCATCTTGAACACCACCGCTAACATTTCTACATCCACACAGCAATAATCAAATTATTATCTATCATCAATTAGTTCCAAAACCAATAATCATTAGTTTCATTCCGCAAATGTTGTGTGTGTGTGTATCACACACTCCTTTTGTCTTCCAAATGATTTCAACTTACCGCTATGCTCGCAACTGCAATGATTGTTCCTGTCTTCGCATGATTTCAAGTGATCAATAACACCATAGCACCAATCTACACATCCCATTTATAATTTATATGATTAAATTAAACTACTAATTAACTTCATATGAAAATTAATTAAATCGATCAATACTATTATTGGATTCCAAGTAATATAATGAAGTTATCACTATTAAAGGGGGGAAAAGCTATCACCATAAGCTCGGCTGCCTTTTCTCATCTGGATCTCAACATGATCGCCGGGTTTCAAATCATTATTATTATTGGACACATAAAGAACATATGGAGAAGTGTGAAATGGGGGCAATCCCAGCCTAGACCAACTTATATATTTCTCAATCAGTCTCCACTCATTCGTTGGACACCTACAACAAACAGCTACTCATGAAAATTTGAAAACTTTTAAGAATAGAGATATATGACATCATATTATGGAATTAAGTTCATTAAATCCAAACTATATGAGCGACAGCCCAACTATATCTCAACAATGTCATACCTTGCTTGAAAGGTGTTTGAGATATGGTCATAACTGAGTAGCGCATGATATCGCCTTGGAAGCTGAAACTAATCAATGCAAAATCTGATTTTTCAATTTTGTCACAGAGATTATTATAACATAAAGAAGAGTTGATGAGTGAAATAACTTGCCGGTGCCATCAGATACACCTGGGCAGGGAACCAAAATCGACCACTCTGAAGAGAAATATACAAGGCCATACTAGAATAATTCGACAGTAATAAATTAGTCAAGTGTCTGGGATTTTCCAAATACGAAGAAAGGCATAAGAGAGGCCAAGCACCGGTAAATGATCCTAATGATCCATTTGGTGGATTCATTTGTAGTCGTGAGGGGCTTTCCTTGTTCGTTATCCTCATCATATGAAATCGCCACTCTCTGTAAGCAACATCACCAAGCAGTCTTCCCCACCTACGTTGTACGTGTTTCTCCCACAATCGATTACTTCTGCATCTGCGCATCAAACAAGTGCAAACCTCCGACATGCAACGTAGTTCATTTGGTGAAAGTTGGTCGAGAATGTTATCCAAGATGGGTTCTGGTAATTTCAAGAGATAAGCCTCTTTCTCCATCGGCCTTGGGGCTCTGTTTGTTAATGGCATTGTTAATGTGAATATAAATTTTGTGCTTGCTGAGAGAAACAAGAAAAAGGCCGAAGCAGAATATGTCAAGAACCTCAACAGTTTCCATCGACAGCTGCGTACCTTTTAGTATCTCCATTAATAATGATTATTTCGTTGTCCTGTGTCTCTGTTTTTTCCTCATCCCGCAGGCTTCTACTGTATCTTGTGTGCAGGCCCTTGCCCGGCTAAGTTCTCGTGTAAGACAGTTTGAGTAAATAGCAACAATTAAAAATTAAGAAATACTACATCTGGTCCTTAATATAAGAGCTTGTTTAATTCTTAATTTGATTCTAAATATATGATCCCAATCTACTTTGTCTCTCATGTTTATCTATTTTTTCAAAATAGTCATTGTAGTAATTTCACGTGCTAAAATTTTTATCAAATGGTAGTTCTAACTAATATATATGAGTAATAAGAGTATTCTAGACAAGACAAGACATATTTAATATAAATAATTAATTTAACAAACTTTCTTAGTCTATTCAAATTAGTCAATTAGTTTTTATATTAAAAACCGGAAGTAGTACAATTGAATACTTCTGTTATATGTGTTAGACTAAATTTGTTAAATTAATAATTATGTGGCTTAGCATTAATTAATTAATAGGAATATTCACTATTATCCAAAGCAATTAGTCTTATTGTAATACTACTTCTAGTTCTTAATATAAAAACTTGTTTAACTTTTATTTTAATCCTAAATATAAGATCCCAATCTACTTTGTCTTCTGTATTTATTCATTTTTTTTCAAAATACTCGTAGTACTTATAATAATAGTAGTTCTAGCCAATAAACTTGATTAGCAAAGATATTTCAGAAAAAAGAATACATATTTATTATAAATAGTTAACTTAATTAATTTTTTTTCAATCTACTCAAATCAATGAATTAGCTTTTATATCCAAAAGCGAGACAGTATTAAACCAAGAGCAGCTATGGTCACGTGTTTCCATGTCTTACAGTTTTCCATAAAATTTATACACCTTTGCTTCCGGTTGGGCGCGTGCATACAGACAACCTTTATCTTATTTTAAAATTTTTAATTATGTGAACTTGTTTATTTAATATTTTTTAAAATTTTAAATACATAAGCTGGCAAAAATAATGCTTCAACATTTATGTCGAAACAAAACAACCATGCTTAACTAACCAGGTGATTCGTAGTCATATACATATCTCTCTGTTCACTAGCTGAGATTCGGCTTTTTAAACAACCATGCAAAAAATTTTCATCATTTGAAAATGTGGAGCACTTCAGAAAAAATTGTTTGTTTGAATTAGTTGTAAAATTGGCCAAAAAGAAAAGAAAAGAAGAATTAGCTGTAAAGAATTTACTTATCTCCCAAAACATAAAACATATCTTTTTAAGCTGATCCAGATATAAGGAAGGACAAATTATGCAGAACATCAATATCACAATCATGTGACATATTTTCAACACATGTAAGCCTTACACATTACATAAATCTTAAAAAATAAGTCATGGTATTCATATATCTTATTAATAATGCAACTTCTTAAAGTTTAGACACACATATAATTAAATTTATTACTAATAAGCTCTCAAATCTCAGCACTACCCAATAATATTGGGCCACAGCTCCTTCCACTTTTCAATTTCATGACTATGAAGCTTTTTTATTCCACCATAAAGGCCGCCTCCTCCACCATCTGTTTGTTCCCCATCATTCATTTTATTTAGCACCACTCGTCTATAGTGGGAACCAGGAGAGTACTGTATGAACTCAATAATCAGCAAATCTAATTATAAGAGATACAATCTGTCAGTTTAACATTAAAACTCGATGGAATGATACCATTTTCCTTAACCAAGTTCGATAAGAGAAAGTATATAGCAATTACAGTAAGATAACAATCAGCATATATGAGCCTTCAATCTAAATCAGGCATTATTCACGCATCTTCTAAAATATGGGAAATTCACTTAAAAGCCTATATCAAGGCCAAGTTTATGCAGTTGAGTTATTTTTACCATAATTTTTTACTCATAAAAAATCAAAAAATGAGTCATATCATAATTTAAATGATGGAAGAAAAAAAAATCTCACCGCTTAGGTGACAATGACAGTGATCATCCTCCTTGCACGATTCTAAGTGACCAACGATAGCATACCACCAATCTACAAAACATTCACCAACAGGAATGAAATGGACGTTGACATAAGATTGATCTTTCCGATACATAAGGTCATAAGCCACGAAGAAAACATAATATAAAATGTCAGAGCGATAATGCAAAACATCACGGCACTATGAATAAATACACTATGATATTTGGCACAAATATTTAATGAAGTACGGAAGAATGAGCCCCCCTCTATCAAAATCAATAAGAATTGTAATATCCAATGTACAAAACATATATAGTACCATAAGGGAGATTTTTGTGCGATCTCCACTGGACTTCTATATGATCCCCAGGCTTTAAATCATTCAAACAATCAGAAACATGAAGAACATGTGGAGTCTGAGTTGGGGTTGCTCGCAACCTTTCCCACGAAATATTCTGTTCAACCAATCGCCACCCAGAATACCGAGACCTGAAAGATTACAATGGTTCTGAGTTCAACAAAGACCATGAAGCATAATAAAAATTTAGCATTTTGAAACTCACAATATGTTCCGAAACTGAGACTTATAATTTCGAGATAAATTGTTGGGAAGCTCATAATATGGTCATGGTAAAATTCTCCTATTTTTCAGAATACTCTCCAAGAGGTTCCTATAAGTAGCGGCATCAGAGTCTAGACCCTTCATAAGGCCCTTTAAATTACATTAGATCCTGATCACTACAAGGTTATCCCACCTTTCGTGATTCCTGAAAGCCAAACAAGTGGCATTAAGGCTGTAAATGTGGCATCAGAGACTAGTTATGGTAGGGTTCTTCCCACACGTGGGATTCTCTCCAAAAGATCCCTACAAGTAGTGGTATTAAACTCTGGTTATAGTAGGAACTTAAGCAAGTCAAGTGTAATCCTTAAGGTTTTAAGCAAGTGCTTAATTCCTAAGATTTTGAGTTTGCTTTAAAATTTTGAATTAACATGTCATGTCAAACTCACTTATATACATTCTCTCATAATTTTAGGTCTAACCCCTCAGGAAATTCTCTATGGCTCCACAAATAAGCCTAATTACGGTAGAGTTACCCTGCTTTTAGAATGCTTTCCAGGGCCCCACAAAAATCTAGGTGTAGGTTAAATAATTTGAAGGAAATACTTAAAATACCTTGTCATAAATAGATTTGTTCTCCAATTATAGCTCAGCAGTGCATCATAACAACAAAGCATATAATCACCACTCTGCAATAAACATCTAAGAGTTATTATTTGGCAATATGCATAAATAATGTCCTCATAGTCTCCAAAATAAATTAGTGGAGGTACATTTCAATGCATTAATTAAAGCATTTACCTTATAGACTTGAGCAGGGAACCAGAATTTCCCCTTCTCCATATAGAAATACCAAGCCATCATTGAATATTCTGATAGTGAATTACCAGGCGGTTTGCAATGTTCTAAAAACGATCCAATACAAATAATCGGCCAAATACCTGTGAAAGATCCCAGCGATCCATTTTGAACTTGCTGACTAAAATTATTTTCTCTCCCTCTTGTTGCTAAATGCCATTTCCACTCTTGATAAGCAACATTACCGATTAATTTTCCCCATTTCAGCTTTATTTGCTTTTCCCACAAAAGATCACTTCTACACCTGACTCTCAAGGAAGAGCACACATGTGCAAGTGTGCACAATTCAGCAGCTGTCAAGCACTCAAGAATGCGTTGTAGGGTTAGTTCAGGCAGATCTAAGAGAGAAATCTTACGTTCCCCTTTCTTCTCCTCTTTCGACTCTAAATCTTTCTTCAACATGGTGACCGTGGGACAAAAGAAGGACAGACCTGCACATCCAAGTATCACAAAAACATAAGTATTGACATTGAAAGAAATGAAATATCTTATATTCACTCTATACACCATAGATTGTATAATCTTTCATGCAAAAGCTTAAGTTTGTGTATCAATCACACGTCACAACGACAAGAGACTTTCAACTTTCAACTATATGTCAAATTAGTTGAAACTAAACTGTAGGAGTAAAGCAACCTTTAGTGACGGTAATATACTAAGTAGATCGGCGTAGGTCGCATTTTCTTTTCATATTTGTCGTGAGAAAAAATAAGTTATCTAAAATGAGAAGTAAAAGAGAAACGGATGAACAAATAAATTCAAAAAAAAAAAAAAAAGACTATTAACATTTTCAAAACAGGATAGATGATTCATCTGCAACCCACCTGCTTCTACCTAACTGAAATATGTGCAAGGTTTAATGGAGAGCTACTTTGAACTATTCTTGTAATATGTTGCCCTCATTAAAAATCAATTCACTGAACTCTACAAAAGAAGCTATTGTAATCCTAGATCCTTGAAAATATAGATGTATATGGTTTTTGTGTTAGAGAAGAGTAGGATAAAGAGGATTACTCTGCTCATGGACTATGCTTCAAATGGACAAGAACGCCATACCATCACCTTCTAGGCTACCAACGTACCAAAACGATGGTTCAGTTGTTTTGAGTGAAGATTGTGGCACAAGGAGCCGAACGAGGATAGTAGTGGGCTTTTTCTAACTCCATAGTTTGATGCTTAGAAAACAACGTGAAGATAGCGACCCAAATGGGATTAAGAAGTCGGCTTTTGACCTCTTGTATAGACATGACAGGCATGATAATAACAACTTTAGATGATTCTAGTCACGATATTTTTTATATGGGCCAATAACAATGTTTACCAAGTTAGACCCTATTTTAAATTCTTAATAGTGACATTTTTTTTTAATTGAGTTTCCGATAAGAGAATGACAATTGACATATAAGCAGCATCAAAACATGCAAATTGAACAAAGCCGAACGGCGGCAAAAGGAGAATTATCTGGGAAAAGGGTACTTTAGAGAGAATTATTTGGCAAATAGAAGTTGTCATTTCATATAATTGAAGTTATTATTTCTTAAATTAAAATAATCATTCACCTCCGGCTGCAGCACCTGCTCCCAGCCTCCCACCACTCCTTCACTAACGTCATCTCCTCCCTCAGCTACCCCTACTGGGTCTCCGGCACCATCCTCAGTTGCTTGCTAGCTCCTCACCCGCAAATGGTCCTGACGGTGTTTCACCCGCCGGCGGCGGCTATGCTTCTGAGCCACCCGCATGATATCTTGCACCAACCTCTGCGGCATTCTCCGTCAGCAAGGCCATTGTTGCCCGCACTGCCCTTGTGGGTAAATTTGTAGCCATGGCCATGATTGCTTGCAGCTGGGGAAGGAAGGATTGGTTTCAGTATTCCTGGATTCATCTAGAGGCAATTATGACTTCGAGATAATAGTTGTCATTGCTTAAAATTTTGTTGTCGTCTCATACAATTAAAATTAGCTATTTTAAACGTAAGGAAGCAGCAGCTCGTGCGAACCAGTGGACCTATCTTTTCATTTTTCCGTTGCTACATCCTCTGCTCTCTCGTTCATTTTTTTTCTTCTTCTGCGGCTTCCCTTTACTTCGTTCTGTTCTATCCGCCGCCTCACTACTCCGGTCGCTCGTTCTTTTTGGTTTTCTTCAGCCGCCGCGTCCTTCCTCTCGCCCCCTCAGCGGCCGCCCAGGTGGCCCCAGTCTCTCAAACCCCAGTTACTCTTCCATTTTTCCAAAAAACTTTTAATATATTTTTTTAATATTATTTAATTAATTTTTTGCCATATTTTTTTATATGTTTTTTAATTTTTCTTATTAAAAAATAAAAATATATTTATTTAGTATTCAAGAGACAAATTTACCCTTAGTGCCCCTTGTTCATATTGACCCCATTTTATTAAAAAAAACTCAAAATTTGAGATAATAAGAATTAATTCATTTCAATCCAGTTGATCTCGGTTTTTAATTCAACCCTAAAAATCTACATAAAATATAATAATATTCAATAATCACGTGTAAAAATATTAGATGAAAATTTAATCATGAATGTTCAGAGTTTAACTAATGGATTTTTATAAAATTTAAATCGTGGTTGTATAATTTATCATATATTATTTATTATTCAACTCATTACATTTTTAAATTATTTTTTTTCCTGGCCGAATGCTTTTAAACCTGTTAAACACAAAGAAAAAGATGCTATTTTTTCAGATATCTAATATCTTAAAATATTTATGTTATATGCATTTATTCAGCACCTACTTAATAATATTTTAGTATGTACATTAAAAACAGTTTGGAGTACTAAACATATCTAAAAAAAATACTTTTAACATATTGAATGTATCAAAATATAATTTAGAATGTGAACATATCTAAAAAAATATTTTAAAATTTTAGTGTTAGATGCCTTATAAAATATTTTTTAAGGTGCTTAATTTATCTAAAAAAATATTTTAAAATGCTGTTGTATGTAGGAAAATAAGAAACTTAAATAAATAATTAATAAGTGAAATTGACAAAATGCTTGCAAGGCGGCAAGGCCCGCCATTTTGGTGGGAAGAAGAGAGGGGGTGGGATAAAAGGAATCGAGGCGGCCGGAGAAATGGCAGGGAGGGTTATGGCCTCAATAGCGCTCAGTAAATCTCACTCGTTCAAGAATCTTTTCTCAAATTCTCTTCTGTTTATTCCTCGCTTTTACCAGTTTGCACTTCGCAGTACCAGGTACTGTTCTCTTTCTTATGTTTTCACTTCACCTTTACGAATGTGAGAAATTATTAAAAAGTGATAGAAATCGATATCGGTGCTTGCATTATTTGACCGACTACTTGGCATTTTCAGGCGTAATTAAAATAGAGAGAAACCGAGTGATAGCATTTTCGATGTCCTTTTTTTTCTTTTTCTTTTTCCTAACCTCGAGTGGTTTTCTCTTGGAAAAAATTGGCTATATTTGTCTATTTTATGGTTCATGATGCTTCGGAAGTACAAAAATATGTTTGGCGATTATACGGCTTCATACGTATGCAATTATATTTCATCTCTATAAATAATAATGGGAGAGTCCTGTCAGGTAATTGCACAAAATTTTGAAGCAAGATGTGACAGGTCTTTTAGAATGCAAATAGTGAAGGTGAATGATATTGCAGCGACATATTACATTGTTGGTTTTAGTAGACACTCCGGAAGGTATAAATCAATCCAAAGATGTTTGATATTGTAACGTTGAATCTTCTGCATATCTACAACAACGCTGAAGGTCATTCATGTTTTAGTTCGGTTAATTTGCAAAACCCAAATCAAAATCTATAGAATGAGTTGTCTGAATATTGATTTGCACTGCAGTAGCTTGAACTCTGTAATAAGCAAGGCTTATGGTCTGAAGTCTAGTTTTGTCTACCGCTATGACATAAAAACATCTCCTTTCTTGGGACACCTATGTATTCATTCGGGTCCATGTCTGAACTCTGGTGATAAAGTTGTAGAGCAACTTCAGGATTCTGAAGACTCCTCTACTGTTACTGGTGCTTGTAATGGCAAAATAAAGAGGAAGAAACTAAAGGGGAAAAGGGCAGTTGTAAGGTGGCTGAAGTTCTTTAGATGGAAGAAGAAGAAAGATTACGGAAGAATGACAGCAGAAGAAAAAATACTATACAAATTGAAAAAGGTAAATTCTTGTTTTCTTGCCCAAGCCTCACTTGTAGGTGCACATTTCTATCTCAATTTGGTTTGCGCCATCAACTCTTGCCCAATGTCTTCAACTACTTTGAGTCTGTTTTCTTTTTCCTTTTATGCTATTGTGCTTGTTATGTGGCTAAACTTCCTTGTTTGCTATTACATTCACCATAAAGCAGCTTGTATTTTGCCTTTAAGATTAAATTGAACAGAACTTGCACTCATCTTCCTTCCTATGTGCAACAAGTTACTTTAACATGGTGAACTTCACGATAGGGGGGGAAAAATTCTGTTCTCGTTGGTGCTTCAGTAGATGCTTCAATAGTCTATTCACATTTCATGCATGCATTTTGGTGATTTAATAAAACCTGTTGATTAAAGAATCTGTTCATATTACAAAGTTTGCTTATAATTTTACTTTGCCATGTAGATTCATTCTCTATGTTTTGTCTCTTAGGTAGGTATATTTCTAAGATTCTTATTGTTGTTTATTTGTTCTCTAATTGCATAATTTTCCTGCGGGGCATATTTTTCCAAGTTGTAGGATAGGTGGATTATTAGGAAGAGAAATTAAAAGAACGATTGATCATATCATCAATTTTAGATAACTGAAGGGTTGAACCTCTTTAAAGAGCTTGCTCTGGTTGGATGCGGTAGACTTTTCCGGCCTAGCAGTAGAGATTTTTTAGGTGTTTGTTTGAATCCTCTATGCGAGAAGGGGACTTTTCTTGGCAATTTGTAACTATGAAATCGGTTTCTGTCTTTCACATAGATGCAAGTGAAAGTGAAAATGAATTGGGCGTATGTTAATGCTGCTACAGAGAAGTACCTGGGCCAAGCATAATGTGCCTGTAGTTAGTAGGCTTCTCTATGCTGAGAGTACTGGATACATGTGAATTTGACTTTCCAAAACTTGCCCAGAAGATTAGAACATCAGAAAGCAAGGAAAGGAGCAAACTCTCTGCTCATCTTAGCTAATATTTAATGGTAGAACTTTGTGCTTTGTCACTGGATAATATCTGGGTGACTGCTGTTGGGTTTGGTGGAATTGGTGCCTATGAAGAGGGTGATTATAAGTTACTCAATGCGCTTTCTCATGTTACAACATTCTGTGTCGCACAGAGCAAACTTTGCCTTGTCTAATAAGGTCATCCCTAGCAGTTCTATATGTGGTGTGTTCTTACGCTGGGTTTTGAGAAATCTCAGCATAACTATGATAAACTCATCTTAATTGAAAGTTTCTTAAGGCTTATGATACCTCAATCCTATAGAGTGTATTTAGATCATTATTGCTTAATAATCAGTTGCAACTCACTTGATTTGTATTGCATGCATAGTAACTGCTCATGCAGGCCTGAATGACTGGGAATTTGCAAAGACTAGCCTTTTACTTGCAATGTTGTCTAATTTATACAAGATCAATTTATTTTGGATCTTGATATACACTATTTGAAGCTTTTTTGGGTTATTTTTTCAGATGGCATTCTATGCGAAAGTCTTATTCAGTGTTATCTAATTGATGATGTGGTATTGTATGAGCATGTAATGTGGTTATGTGGCGCTTAGTTTGCATGCTTCAAGTCTTCAAATTGTATCATGAGAATGACAAGGAAACCAAGGATTGACAGACAAGAACCACCAATGATCTCCATCCTTTTCTATTTCAAAATCCATTCACCTCTGACACTCTCCTCCTTAATTGACCCACTGATGGCCTGCTGCTTGAATAGCCTAAAGCAACTAGGCACAAGTTTTATAAACATTGCGGGACAATTTTGCTTCGTTTACATTAGCATTACAGTGCGCTAATGTATTGTGTTTGGGAATGGAGGGCAGCGACTACAAAGGAGTTGAATAACACTGTTTCTGCTAATAATAGTGTTTTCTTGTCTTTTCTTTTTTTCCCCTCACATGACTGAGAAAACATGTATCGAGTTATATTTTGGTTCACCGATATGTGTTTTATGTCTGTCAGTTACATCAATTAACCAATTTTCAATGCTTTCTTCACTGTTCTAGGCTCGGAGAAAAGAAGAGAGGCTTCTTGAAGCTCTGAAGAAGATTGAGCCTGCAGAATCATCAGAAACAACCCATGATCCTGAGATATTGACGCCGGAAGAGCACTTTTTCTTCCTAAAGATGGGCCTTAAATGTAAAAATTATGTGCCTGTTGGAAGACGGGGAATATACCAAGGTGTAATTCTGAACATGCATCTGCACTGGAAGAAACACCAGACTTTGAAAGTGGTAGTGAAGACGTTTTCACCAGAGGAGGTCAAGGAGATCGCTGCAGAGCTGGCAAGACTTACGGGAGGGATTGTGCTTGACATTCATGAAGATGACACAATAATAATGTACAGAGGAAAGAACTATTCTCAGCCCCCAACTGAGATAATGTCTCCTCGGGTTACTCTGTCAAGGAAGAAGGTATGGTGGCTTTTTTCATGTCCTCTTTTTTTTGTCCAAGCTTCTGTTCAGTTTTTGGCCCGTCTCTTCTAAGAGTAATAGAATGAAGTTTCCATAAATTTGGTACCTCAAATTCCCCTTCTTACCTATCGGAGGTGCTCACAGTCCTTTCTTTCTTTTTTTTTAGTTGTATTTTTTGGGCTTGACTTCACCATTAGTGGAAAACTTTGAGGCGATAGAGCTAGAAATTCTCGGTTATTTTTCATGTCTAAATGACTAGTGTCTTTACATAGCTAATGGTCTTAATGTTGGAAATATTCATATCAGTGGTCAAATTGTCATTCCAATTGAGGCTGAAAAATGACAATTTTGATTAGTGGATCTTAATTTCTGAGATATGCTCACAGTATCTTTAGTAGCTGCTGTATTGTCAGAATTATTAATATTTACTTCATTCTTAATTTCTTATGCAGGCATTGGATAAATCCAAGTGTCGGGATGGCCTTCGAGCTGTGAGGAGATATATTCCGAGACTTGAGCAGGAGCTTGAGATGCTTCAAGCGCAGCTCAAGAGCAACGCCGATAGCAAAATAGATGCTGCTGAGGAAAACCAGAAAATTGATTACAATGGGAGTATTGAATCCGGTAGCGTTACAGAATTCCAGTCAGGGAATGCAGATAAACTTTATGAAATAATAAACAAGAACAATGAGTGCCCCGAGGGTGAAGCTGATATGGACACAGAATTGGATCCAGATCCCGAAGATTTATCAGACATCTTCGAGATTGACTCAGAGACAGAGGACGAAATAAAAGAGGAACAACCTCTATATTTGGACAAATTTGAGAAATTTCCAGATCAGAATGGCGGGGAAATCGATGACTTCGAGGAGCATTTACGACAAATATCTCTGAAGTCCAAAAACTCCAACTCTACGGAAGATGTGGACTTGCCCAAGTTTGATGAAGTTGACAGGATTGTGCTGCGTGCAGCGTCCCTCTTAAAGAAAAAGAGAACATGAGACTTTTTGCGGATAATAGGTGCAATCTTCGTTACAGAAAAGGGGGATCAACTAGGGAAAATGGAGATTGCTCAATTTTTATTGAAAACAATGGTAGTCTTCTTATTAGAATGGAAAAAACGAAAGGTTTCCGTTTTTGGATTGACATCGATCATATGGAGTATGGAGTAAAAGAGAGATAGGCATAAGTCATAACGCAGCAAATGGTTGCGAAACCGCTGGGAATTGATATGATCTCACGCGTTGGTTCGCAGTTGATTGCTAATGTGATATCTGAAAGAAAAGAAGGCTTCTCATTTCTTGGGCGGAGTGAAATTGGTTCGCGAAGCACCCCAGAGATTCTAGAAAACAAGCTGTTGTCATTTGATATGATATCACCCGCAATTTATTGCCGCACAACGCCGTACACAATTGAAGAAAACATGACTGCTGAGATAGAAAGACGATGCAACAGAGAGGGGATGCGCAGTAGGCAAGGGGGATAGCGCTCTGCGGCGGGAGAATGAAAATTAGCGGGCAGGAGCAGATGAGAAGGTTGGGGTGGGGCTAATTTTGTAATTGACATAATAATTACTCAGGAGGAATCAGGGCTCTCAATTTTGGGAGAAGTATCTCAAAGGACGAAAATGCCCCCCAAATTCGCTTCTCGCATTTGCTTCTCGGCTCCTCCTCCATCTTCTTTTTCTTGACACTACTTCCAGCTGCCGTCTCTCCGCCTCTACGCAAACCCCGTCCCATCGCATTCATTATCGCTCGTCAAACTTTGCTTTTTGATCACTGCTTGATGGTCGTGGGTTACCTTCTTTGGCAACAACTTCTCCTCCGACGCACTTCCTCCCCTGCGTGGTGTCATCTCTTGAAGGACATGACCGAGGCAACGGCTCCTTCAAGTTTAACTCCCTCCGAACTCTCTCTGTCCAGTTCTTTGGCGGACTAACCTCTCGTGCAGGTTTCTTCGCCGGACAAACCATTTTTTCATGATTATATTTGCATATGGGTTTAGGTCTGAATGAAATTAAAATGGATTGATTCGAATATGTGGTTGGTAAAATTTCTTGGTTTCGAATCTGATAAAATTTATAGATTTTGCAAATTTTGGTTTTGAATACGCGGAGGTGAACTACAGTGAGCAGCAGCAGCAGCATATAGCCCCCCGCGGGGGAGGAATGATGCATTGCGTGTAAGGGTATTTTGGATATTCCATTTTTCTTTTTCCACTTTATCACCGTGTTTTTTTATCGTGAATTATAGGGAATTCGTCCGCATGCGAATTGGGACTTGTGCCCTTTGTACTTACATCTCACCTTTTTGTTATATTTTATAATTTATAATTGATCGGATATTTAAATTGTAATTTTCTGTGAATTTAATTGTTAAGAGACAAATGTAATGGATTTAAAGAGTTCCTTCTTCCGGCCATAGTATAAAAAGTTAAACTCTTGAATCCTTTGTCATTTTTTAAGGATTTGTCTTTCACAAATCCCGGCATTGATTTGAATCGCATTTGCACCCCTCTACTCGAGCCTCATCGAAAAGTACAAAATATTGGATGACGAGAGGAATTGCTTTCTATTTTTGCTGGCCATACAACAGGCAAGAAGGGAATGCAAATTTACATGGGATCGATCGAAGTCCCAGTCACAGCGTAGAAATAAGCCGGGTGCTGTTGTGCAAGCTTACGCGTCTTCTCATTTACCTTTCCGTTTGAAGCTGGCGATCTCTCAACTACCACGCCCGTTGAAGAGGCCTTGTGGTATGATATTTTCATTTTCACAAGTCATAATTACAAGCAAAGTAACCCAGTTGTGTGCGGCAAAAGGCCGAAGGAACAAACGATGGTTGGGTTTTCAGTGAGTTCGGCGTTCGATTCCAAATCTGGGCAGATGATAATGATAGCTTTGCTGCTCATGATTGTCTCCTTTTATGCGGGCACCCTTTTTGGCAACAATGTTCCCATTTACGCATCCCAGCTTCTCTCCAATTCTTCTATTCGTTCTTCATTTCCTGGTAACTTTTTTTTAAACTGGTTTTTATCGTTGGCGTTTATATTGCTTTTCTGGGCTTTGGGTTCGTGCCATTTGTTTCCAGTTTCTTGAAATGCAACATTTATCGAGCCCTTTTTGCTGATCTTACAGGAATTTGATTCTTGAGCTATGATGCTTTCTTGGATGCGATTGATTAAATAGCTAATTGTTTCTGGACGGACCTTGTATTATTATCGTTATCATTATTATTATTGAGAGGTATCTGGGACATGGTCATGGTGAAATTGGCAGTTTGAACGTTTATTTAAATTCGTTTTGAAACCTATATTAAAACTTGTGGTTGCTGAGTGCATTTGTTTCTGAATTCTCATTTTTCCAGTGCTTATATACTTAAATGCTGAAGCCAACTGTAAAGGGAATGGGGGTTTGTAGCAGCCACTTGTATCATTGAGTATCTTTAATTTTTTAAATTAATTAAATATATATTAGTTTCTTTTAACGCTGTCAAATCCAAGTGTTAAGTACCCCACTCCAGACAATGCAGAGGATATCTTTTATTCAATAGCATAGCTTTCTGATGAGAAGAATGATGAGTACTCTCCGTTTCTTATTATAATATCTAATTTTTTGAATTGGTTTGTCCCTATTTATGATATCTTTTTTGGATTTGTCTAAACAATAAATGCCTTAATTAATATACTCTCTCTCATTATCTTTTTTCCTTACATTCTCTCTTTTTTTTCCTCACTCGCACCTACCCATTTATAAATAAGGGCATATTTGGGGGGGGAAAAGTACATTTCCAACATATTTATTGCTTTTAACTAATTTTAACAGTTTTCTTAAACCACGTAATATAGTTAAGTGAATCTTATAATAAGGGACAGAGGGAGTACGTCAGAATATATGATCAACAAAATATTTACCTAGCTTTTTCTTTCTTTTCTCTATGAAAAGTTGAAAACCTACATTGGTGTTTGTCACTTGATGACTTCTATAAAACACTGGTCTTTTTAATTACATCTAGCTCTGCAAATTATGTGATTAGTACTAAAATGTTTCTTACTATTTTAGGCACATCAAGATTCACTAACAGAATTGCTCTGACTTATCGCAAAACGCCCCCACTGATTCCTGAAACTGGGATGGATGTATGCCCTTTGAAGTACAACGAGTATATTCCCTGTCATGATTTTTCCTATGTGGCAACGCTCCAAAACGTGGATTATTCTAGAAAAGAAGAACTGGAGAGGCACTGTCCTCCCCTTGAAAAGCGCTTGTTTTGCTTAGTTCCGCCACCGAAGGATTATAAAACACCTATTAGATGGCCTATCAGCAGGGACTATGTTTGGCGAAGCAATGTGAATCATTCAGTTCTGGCAGATGTCAAAGCAGGCCAAAATTGGGTGCATGAGAAGGGTCAGCTCTGGTGGTTTCCCGGGGGTGGTACCCATTTCAAGCATGGAGCACCTGAGTACATTCAAAGGTATCTGTATTTCTCTCATAAGGGTGATTTTACACAAGTAAGCTAGCCGTCAGTAAATGGTCATTTTCCAATAATGTGAATTATATGGTGCCTTCACTCATGCAGGTTAGGAGCTATGATAACAAGTGGTAAGGGTGATCTGCGTTCTGCAGGGGTGACCCAAGTTCTGGATGTCGGTTGTGGCGTGGCCAGTTTTTCTGCTTATCTTCTTCCCTTGGGCATACAACAATGTCTTTTGCACCCAAGGATGTTCATGAGAATCAAATTCAATTCGCATTAGAGCGAGGAATTGCTGCAATGATTGCTGCATTAGCCACAAGACAACTACCATACCCTTCTAGTTCATTTGAGCTGATTCACTGCTCGCGATGCCGTATAGACTGGCATGAAAATGGTAATTGGCCTTTCTCACTGTTGTTTATGTTTTGGCATTTGATTGCACATTGAGAGTCCAAATTGACATTGAAACGATTGTCTGTAGTGCAGATTGACCAATGTAGAGGATTTGCAAACATAAAACCATCCTATGACTAGTGCATTGTCACTCTGTTGGGGTTAGCCTTGTCTCTATGTTAAATTATTTTGTTTTCTGCAGATGGGATTTTGTTAAAAGAGCTGAATCGCCTTCTTCGTTCTAAGGGGTATTTTGTCTACTCAGCTCCCCCTGCTTATAAGAGAGATAAAGACTTTCCTGTCATTTGGGATAAGGTGATGACCCTGACAACAGCAATGTGCTGGAGGCTCATTGCCCGAAAAATTCAGACAGCCATATGGATTAAAGATGATGAGCCCTCATGCCTCCGGCAAAATGCAGAACAAAAGCTTATAAGTCTCTGTGATGCCGTAGATGATTCTAAGCCTTCATGGAATATCCCGCTGAGGAACTGTCTACAAGTTAGAAATTCTCATGGAGAGTCTCACAAGCTTCCTCCACAACGTCAGCGCCTTTCCGTGTTTTCTGAGAGCCTGAGCAAGATAGGTTGGCCTATTCTCATGTTAATGGATCACTCTTGTTAAACTCTAATCTTTTGATATTTCTGACTTCCATCATATTATAATTAGACATGGCCTTTCAATCGAAAGCAATAATTTTCCCCTATTTACAACAGGTAAAACCAAGATGATTTACATCAGACAGTAGCTTCTGGGAAGATCAAATTCGTCAGTACTGGAAACTGATGAATATCAAAGAGACAGAGTACGCAATGTGATGGATATGAATGCCTATTTCGGTGGCTTTGCAGCAGCACTGAATAACTTTCCTGTTTGGGTGATGAATGTAGTTCCTGCTAGCATGAACAATACTTTATCTGGAATTTATGACCGAGGACTCATTGGAACTTATCATGATTGTAAATATCCTAAATATTTTTCGTGG